GCCGCCGCACTCCCAAGCGGCGCACTCTCCAGTGTGCCACCGGGCCGGCCCATGTGTTATATTTTTTTAAAAAGGGTTGAAAACACTCAAGTTCTACACTGTGGATTCCTGATTCCAAATGCAAGAAAAATATGTCCTAGAGAGGGAGAACCTGGCTTAGGTTTGAGCAGGTGGGACAAGAACTAGGCCCTAGAGATTAGATGGATAGAGAAGATGTTCCCAATGGTAGGACACGCCGGGGCACAAGTGTGAAGTAAGAAAGCACAAGGCCAGTTTGGGGCAGAGAGAATTGAGTGGTTGGATTGGAGTAAAAGATGTGTAAGGTGGGAGCTGAGGCTGAGAGGTAGTTCAGGGAAAGACTAGGGATTGGGTCTCTGGAGCTCCAGGCTAAGCAGCTTGGGTTTTTTTCTTTTGGATAGTGGAAGATCACTGAAGCTTTGGCATAGTGATAGCAGTCCTTTAGGATGTTGAAGAGGAGGTCCTAGATAGCACGGAGTGATAGAGGTGGACAGAATTGTCATGGTGGAACTGTAGAGGGGGGTGGATGGAGAACTGTGTATTGTGAGTCTCTCTGAGATAGGTCCAGCAGTATTGATCCTGGCTAGTGTTCTGACTCCAGTTCTTGCTCGTGCAGACATGTTAGGCTTTGTATCCTTTCCTAAGTGGGCCTCAGGGGCATTGGGCTCAGGCTTGGTGTTCAGGGACAGCTTTGTAAATTGTGCCCCCGAGGACTCCCCCATGATTGGAACCTTCTCACAAAGTGTGCACTATCACCTGAGCTAATCCTGTCTTGCCCCACTCTGGTGGTGTCTGAACATGGGACCCAAATGCTGAACCCTTCCATAGTATTGCCCCCTTCAGCCTTGACAGTGCAGAGTCTGTATGCAGCAGTAGAAGCCTCAGTGTGACAGCGCCCAAGCCTGTGGCTGCCGAGTGGGCAGGATATGCTGGGGGCAGCCCCTGTCTGCCTTATTTAGGCCAGTGTGAGTATTCCTGAAACCCTCCTCCCCCCAAGATTACTGATCCCTCTGTAGAATGCAGATGGTGGAGGACAGGGGGTGGTTTCTTCATTTCTAGGAATCCTGGGCAAGCAGAATTCCCATGTAGAGAAGCATCTTCACTTTGTCTTCATTCTGCAGCCAACTGGATATACTGTCCAAGGAGAGAACAATTGATCCAGGCAGAACTGTGGCCTGACAACATGTATCCCAGGGCCAGACACAACAGTGTCCTTAGGGTGGGATGATCAATATCTCAGTAGGAACAGGAAAGACAGGATTTGGTTTTTGCTAAAATTACAGAATAGCAGAGCGTCTAGAAACAATGGCAACATCTGATATGGCGGTTTATGATTTCCTAAGGCACTTCATATAAATTATCTTGTTTTCTATTTTGTGCCTCTCAGCCAGGTGGGGAAAAAGCATTATCCCTGCTTGTCATGTGAGGATTTTTGTGCAGATGTCCAGAAAGGTGAGGCAATTTGTTCAGTTTCAAGGGTGGTAAAAGAAAGAGGTGAGACTTGAATCCAGGTGACTTGGATCCAAGTTTTCCATAGTTTTCTCTGTGCACCAGCCATACTGTCTCTTGACAGGATTTGACTGTCCTACAGTAAACTCCAGGAAGTTTAGTTGTTGGATGCTTGGCCTGCCAGTCTCTGAAAAAATATGATGGGTGGTGGTAGTGGTGCAGCGACCAAGACTGGGCTGAGAGGGGGCAGGGAAGGTGGTAGCAGCAGAGGGGAACAAAGCACCATCCAGGAGCTTAGTGGAGGCTGCTCGCTCTTTCTCCCCAGCTGGGGAGACAGTATGGAAGGCTCTAGCGGTCCATAGATGGCCCAGCTAAACTGAAGGTTACTTCCTCACCCATTCAGTGTTAGGGCCAGAGGATTTTTAGACCTCTCAGTGCTGGAATGGGTGCCATCCCCTGTAACTTCCTGAGCAGTGTGAAACATCCAGCAGATACTTTCCAGCCATCTACAACATGTGCATGCTCATCAGGTAAGAGGTCACAGCTACAGCAGAAATCTAGATGAGTTGGGAAGGGTTTACTATGCTTGTCAAACACTGCTGGTCTAACGTGGAGCTCACTGTGGCTTTTTGACCAAGATAATTACTATGGAAGATCCTAGGTGGCAGGAAAGCCCAGATGAGCAGACATGAGCTGTAGAGATGGTATGAGGGAAACCCAGTTGAGATGGATGCAGAGCAACCATTCAGCATTTCGGGGCTGCCTGGAGAGTAGCAGTTCTTGTTATAATCTCAGATCTGTATCTTTGCCTTCATTATACTTCTTGATATTTCTGACGTAGATGAGTGATTTTCCACAGGATACAGTAGCAATTCCTGCAAAGATGTATTTTGAGAGTTAAATGAGTTAAGTCTTTGTAATGGATTAAATTATGTTTCCCCAAAACTCATTGAAGCATGAATTGTGTCCCCCAAGTTCTGTGTATTAGAAACTTGGCCCCCACTGTGACTGTTAAGAGGGTGGGAAATCCTATTATGGTAATTGAGAGGTGGAGGCTTGAAGAGATGATTGGATTGTAGGACTGTGAAGTAGTGAATGGATTAAAAATGGTGGTCAGGGGAGTGGTTCTGAGGGCTTTAAAAGAAGAGGAGAGTCTGTCTTTCTCTCTGCTCTGTTCTCTCTGCTTCCACTGTCTTGCAGTGTGAGACCCCTGGGTCACTGTCACCACCACCAGATGGACTTTGAACTTCCCAGCCTCGGAAACTAGAAACAATAAATTTCGTTTTTCTTTATAAATCACCCAGTTCCATGTATTTTGTTATAAGCAACAGAAATGGACTAAAACAGTGTTGCTCCTTCATCTTACCATTTCCAGATTTGGTGACCACGCCCAGGTTCATTCTCTCTATCATTTTTCTAGGTTTTATAGACTTTGAATATATCTGCTCTGTGTGTGTGTGTGCATGTGTGCGTGTGTGTGTTTCTGCCATGCCAGGGGTCAGGGCTTCTCCCCCACTATTTTCTTTTATTTTTTTGCCTGCTGGCTGGTACAGGGATCCAAACCCTTGACCCTGGTGTACCAGCACTGTGCTATAAGCAAGGGAGCTTACTGACCTCCCACTTTTTTTTTTTCTTCCTCAGCAATGTCTTGGTTATTCCAGGACCTTTGCTGATTTACATCTCTTCCCAAAGATGGCATCATAATGTTACAACTAGGTTATAATTTGCTTTTAAAAAAACATAATAGTTAATAACAACAATAATAATTAAATACTTAATAATAAATGATAAATACTTAAAAACAATAAATTTTGAATATTGTGTCACTACATATTACTATAAGATATAATTTTCTTTCTTTTTTTTTTTTTTTTTAAAGATGACCGGTAAGGGGATCTTAACCCTTGACTTGGTGTTGTCAGCACCACACTCAGCCAGTGAGCGAACCGGCCATCCCTATATGGGATCCGAACCCGCGGCCTTGGTGTTATCAGCACCGCACTGTGCGGAGTGAGCCACGGGCTGGCCCAGATATAATTTTCAATGGCTGCATGATATGTTGTTATTTAAGCATACCGTAATTTACTCATTCTGTCTCCCATTTTTGGATATTTAAGTTGTTGACAAATTCTTATAATTATAAGCAATATTCTGTGGTGAATGTTCTTGTGACAAAATTTTTTTTAACATATCCGTAACTATTTACTGAGGAGGGAGTTAGGATTTCTGAATCTAAAAATTTGTTTAATTTTAAGGTTTTTGGTACAAATTGCTAAGTTATCTTTTAGGAAGTTCATATGAACTGTATGACAGTGTAGGTCTCAGAGAACCCTTGCTAACAGTGAAATTATTATTTTAAAAATTACTGTTCAATTTGATAGGCAAATAATTTAAAACCGAGTTAACTTTGGATTACACATCTCATTTCGGTTAATCACATTCTTTTTTTTTTTTTTTTTTTTTTTTAAAATGACCGGGAAGGGGATCTTAACCCTTGACTTGGTGTTGTCAGCACCACGCTCAGCCAGTGAGCTAACCGGCCATCCCTATATAGGATCCGACCCCGGGGCCTTGGTGTTATCAGCACCGCACTCTACCGAGTGAGCCACGGGCCGGCCCTGGGTTAATCACATTCTTTTTTTTTTTTTTTAAAATGACCGGGAAGGGGATCTTAACCCTTGACTTGGTGTTGTCAGCACCACGCTCAGCCAGTGAGCTAACCGGCCATCCCTATATAGGATCCGACCCCGGGGCCTTGGTGTTATCAGCACCGCACTCTACCGAGTGAGCCACGGGCCGGCCCTGGGTTAATCACATTCTATGTTCATATTTTTCTAGTGAACAACCATGGGGTTTCAGGCACTGAATGCTCTCCTAAGTATTGCCTCCTTTTGTTCCATTAGGAGGAAATGAGCCCGGTCCACCAGGCCATGGAGAATCAGACCGCAATGGTAACTGAGTTTATTTTGCTGGGATTTCCCGTCAGCAGGGCGTTGGAGCTGCTGTTCCTGGTGCTCCTGCTGCCCACGTTCCTGCTGACTCTCCTGGGGAACCTGCTCATCATCTCCATTGTGCTGTCCTACTCCCGCCTCCACACTCCCATGTACTTCTTCCTGTGCAACCTCTCTATCTTGGACATCCTCTTCACCTCAGTCATTTCTCCGAAAGTGTTGGCCAACTTAGGATCTGGGGATAAAACCATCTCCTTTGCTGGGTGTATCACCCAGTGTTATTTCTACTTCTTCCTGGGCACGGTAGAGTTTCTGCTGCTGACAGTCATGTCGTATGATCGCTATACTGCCATCTGCCACCCGCTGCAGTACCCCACCATCATGAGACCTTCTGTATGCATTGGGACTGTTGTGTTCTCTTGGGTGGGAGGCTTCCTATCTGTGCTCTTTCCAACCATCCTCATTTCCCAGCTGCCCTTCTGTGGCTCCAACATCATTAACCACTTCTTCTGTGACAGTGGGCCCTTGCTGGCCCTGGCCTGTGCAGAGACCACTGCCATTGAGCTGATGGATTTTATGCTTTCATCCACGGTTATCCTCTGCTGCATAGTTCTTGTGGCTTATTCCTATACGTACATCATCTTGACGATAGTGCGTATCCCTTCTGCAAGTGGAAGGAAGAAGGCCTTTAATACCTGTGCTTCCCACCTGACCATAGTCATCATTTCTAGTGGCATCACTGTGTTTATCTATGTGACTCCCTCCCAGAAGGAGTATCTGGAAATCAACAAGATCCCTTCAGTACTGAGCAGTGTGGTGACTCCATTCCTTAACCCTTTTATATATACTCTGAGGAATGACACAGTGCTGGGGGTCCTCAGGGATGTGTGGATCAGGGTTCAAGGAGTTTTAGAAAAGAGGTTGAGGACAGTACCGAGGAGCAGACTGCCCTCCAACAAAGACCACTAAGGAGGGGCTTGTCCCTCTTCCTCTTCACCATCATGTATCCATTGTATAAAGCCCCAGTATTAGAAAAAGAGGAACTGCCTTAGCAAAAGACTGCCAGCTAAGGAATCCTAAATAGTCTACAGCAGAAAGAAGACTGAGCTTGGAGAAGGGACTTGGACCCTGGACTTGGTTCTAACTTTAAATCTGTGGCCACAGCTTTGTCACCAGCCACTCTGGCTCTCAGTGCTGTCATTTGAAGTGTGACAGGGCTGGACTTGATGATCTCTAAGTCCCATCCACACTGAATGCTCTTAGAATTGCAGAGGGCTGTACAGCTTGTGTCCTGTTACAAGTCCTAACATGTTTAGCCCCATTCGCTTATGGATCCTAAACACAGCTGTTCTATCACTTGGCACAAAGTTTTTCCTGAATCCCTTTGCGTGGACCCTCTTTCTTTCCATCCTTTCCAGGAATCTTCCTAGGAATAAGCTTAATTTTCCTCCAATCCACTATCATGTCCTGTAACCCATTGTTTTTCCTAGTGGACATTTGTAATGATTGTGGGTGTATGTAGTCTATGTTATTTAATAATATTGCTTTCTGTGCTAGAACACTTCATAATATCCAACATGCTCACATCCTGATGTAAAACATGGACCTGTTACCCCAACTTCTGAAGATTAACCCATGGATGGTGTTTCAGTCCATTTCTGTTGCTTATAACAAAATACACAGAATGGGTAATTTATAAAGAAAATGAAATTTATTGGTTACAGTTTTGGAGGCTGGGAAGTCCAAAGTCTGGGTAACACAGCTGGTGAGAATCTTTGTGGTGGTGACAGTGACCTAGGGGTTTCACATCGCAGCAGAAAATGGCAGAGCAGAGAAAGACTAATCTCTCATGTACTCTTAAAGACTCAGAACCATACCCCGACCACCACTATTAATCCATTCACTACTGCATGGTCCTACATTCTCATTACCTCTTCGAGGCCCCACCTTTCAATTACCATAATAGGATTTCCACTCAACAGTTACAATGGTGATTAAGCTTCTAATGTATGAATTTGAGGGACACAGTTCAATCAATACACAGCAGATGGATAATCTGTCTGAAGGCACAATCCATTGCCTGGCCAGTGACCTGTGACCTGTGTGGTTTGTCTAGGACAGATAAATTAGGCAAATATCTCTTTTTTGAGAATTTGAACTAAGAGATGCAGAGATTGTACCAGATAATGGTGATGGCCCCTGGAAGCTTACTTAGGCTTTGCAGCTGGAGTGGTCATTTTTGGGGCCATGCGCAAGTTGATGAGTAATTAGAGGAAATCAGTCTGCCCATCCGAGAGAATGAAGTTGATGTGTAGAGAGAAATAGAGAAGAGACAGATGAGAGGCACAGAGTGCAGGGTCCTCCTATCTAATGACTTCCCAGGCCAGGGAGCTGGCAGAGATTTAATTACTGTTTCCGTATTTGTTAATTACCCATAAATCCCTTTTTATTGAGCTATCTTGGTCTTTGTTTCTTGTGACTCAAAGCAGCTTGACTGCAGTTTTCTCTTTCTCTCCACTAAGCATAACCCCTCGCATTTTCTGGCTCCATGGAGCTGGAAAGAAGCCTCTTTTAACCAAACTCTTGGTCTGAATTCTTGGTGCCCAGACACTGTCTGGGATGCTTGACTGGTACCATCCAGGCCTATGGTTCAGGTCAGTGCAAACCAAACTTTTCAATGTTGTCAGAAGCTCTGAGGTTTTATTTCTTGTCCTCCTCACCTCTAGCACTCTGCAGCACCCACTTTGCCTAAATAACCCCTGTGCTCCACATGGAACTGGTCAGAAGGATACATACACAACCTAAATGAATTCTGTAGAGTTCTGTGGAAATAAACAAAGATCACTCAAATGAGAACAGAGGCTATTTATTCAGAACTGGCTATACCAGGGGAGTCAGCCACCATCCCTTGCAGTTGGCAGAGATTCAAAGGCAGACGGGGGAGTGGGAAATCTTCATAGTTGGGGGAAAAAAGGGAAGGAAAGCTCAGGTATGCTCTGATTGGAGGTTTTAGTCCTGGAAAAGCTGGAGTGGTGCTGAATAAAAGTGGGACATCTTATGTGATTGGTTTGGGGAGCATATTTGGCTTCTCTGATTGGTCTTGAGTTGGAAAAAAGTGGGGAAGGGGATGTGGGGGTGGGGGTCACTGGCAAAAAATAAGGCAGTTGGCAGTCATGACCAAGTCTTGACTGCTCTGGGCCAACTGCTGCAAAGGTTGTGGTTTGGCTTCCTTGGCTGGTTGCTTCAGAGTTTGTGAGTCAGAGTTCTACGGTCATATGTGGTCTGGCTATACATTTTTTTTTTTTTTTTTTGGCAGCTGACTGGTGTTTTTTCATCCTGGTCCTTGATGTTAATCAGCATCATGCTCTAACCAACTGAGCTAACCAGCTAGCCCAGTTGTTCATTTTTGTATTCAGTCTCTCAGTTCTTATAACATTGAAAGTTCTTGTAACATTTTTAAGTCTAAGCAGATGCACAATCTTCCCAAAATAGACAGTCAGATCCCATGAATAACAGATGATGAAAAGTGAGCTCAGGTAAGCAGAGTTTAGTTGGGGGTGTCGAAGGACAAAATCTGAACAAATTTTGTTTAAAGATCTCAATTGGCTTCATTGCAATTCTAGATGAGGCAGTAACTAATTCCATAAAATGAAATAAGAGCTCCAATGAGCTGAGCAGAAGGAGTTGGCTTATAGACCAAGAAGAGCTGAAGAAAGTAGAAGAACAGAACAAAGAGTATATACCTTGTTTCAAAGCCACTTTTCTTGTAAGGTGGGATAGGCAGACAAAGCAATAGAAAAATAACTGATTAGAGAGGGGGAGAAAAAAAAGTAACTGATTAGTTAACATCAGGTTACTTCAGACTACTTCTTTTGTGTAAAGATTAAAGCAGAGGGAACTTCATTATCATGCTGATTGAAGATTTAAACTGGCCTGTTTGGGAAATTGGTTGTTATCTTTTTCTCCTGATTTCTCAGAAGGTCAGATAACAATTTAGTCTGGGTTTGGTGATATGGAACTTTAGCACGCGTGACTCTATTTTGATTTTTAGTATGGTCTGTTGGGACCTAGTGCAGGAACTTAGTCCAAAACAATGGCCTCCTATAATTTTTATTTAACACATATAAAATAGCCTTTATTTTACAAAAATGAGATGGTACTATATGAATTGTCTGCAACTTGATTTAAAAAATATCTTTGCATGTCACTACCAATAAAACTACATAATTAATTTTCTTTTTCCTTTTTGTCTTTTTTCGTGACCGGTAACGGGATCGCAACCCTCGGTGTCGCGCCTGCACTGCGCTCAACCAGTGAGCGGACCGGTCTCTATATGGGATCCGAACCCTCAGCGGGAGTGCCGCAAGCGCCACACTCTACCGAGTGCGCCACCGGGCCGGCCCGAATTTTTAGGTGTTACTTTTATAACCAATGGGCACTGAGATTTCTAGTATTTTGATATTGGTGATAAAATTTATTGGCATAAATTCCTCCTCTTAGGACTCATAGCTCATAATGTATGGCCATTTTAACTTTCAGTAATTATTTTGGTGAATTCTATGAAATTTTTCCAAAAATTTGGTTACAATTTCTTCTCCCCCCAACATATGCTAATGTTTATCTTCCTTGTGATTGCTGTTATTAGATATTGTCAATCTTGAAAATTTTTGTTAATCTGCATGTAAAAAAGGATATCTCTTTTTTGTATTTCCTCTAATACTAGTGAAGTTAAACATCTTTTCATACGATAATTGGTCATTTGTACATAACTTTTTCTGCAAATTAGTTATTCATATTTTTTGCTATAACACAAAGAAACATTTATTTTTCTGCTGGATTGCTTTTCCTTTTCTGATTGCTTGGTGTAAACTATTTTTATTGCTTATCAAAAGCCTTAATATTTTGCATACCCTATAATCCTTCAATCTTACATCTAGGAAGGAAATCATTGGTCAAATGGGCAAAAATGTATGTACGAGGTGCTTACCATACATTGTTTATAAAATAAAAAAATTTGCAGCCTGGCCGGATAGCTTAGTTGGTTAGAGTGCTGTGTTATAACACCAAGGTCAAGGGATCGGATCTCCATACTGGCCAGCTGCCAAAAAAAAAAAAGGAGAGAAAAAAAATATTTGGAAGCAACTTTAAAACTAACGAGAGTGAAGTGATAAATTATGGCAAATTCACACAATGGAAGACAAAGCAACAATTAAGAGTTATGGTATATATCTATATTGAATTATTTCATTTATTAGCAGCTGGCTGGTGTGGGGATCTGAACACCATGACCTTGGTGTGAGAAGGCTGTTCTCTAACCAACCGAGCTAACCAGCAGCCCTTATTTCTGTGGGTATTTACTATTTTCTATTGGTATAGAAAGAGGTTTACAACAACGAAGTTAAAAAATTTTCATAAAGCACTTTGTTAGTATGTTCTTGTTCTGGTAAATAGATACTTATAAATATAATAACATAGACATATAGTCTGAAAGAATATATTCCAACATACTCAGTGTGGTTATTTCTGGGTAGTACAATTATGGGTGGTTTTTAAAAAGTCCTTTTATTTTTTTCTTACTTTTCTTTCTTTTTTTTTTAAAAGATGACTGGTAAGGGGATCTTAACCCTTGGCTTGTTGTTGTCAGCACCACACTCAGCCAGTGAGCAAACTGGCCATCCCTATATGGGATCTGAACCCGTGGCCTTGGTGTTATCAGCACCGCACTCTCCCGAGTGAGCCATGCGCTGGTCCTTTTTTCTTATTTTTCTACAATGAAAACGTTTTGCTTAGATAAAAAAAAGGAGCAATGTTTTCAGAATTGAACCAGCACGCAGATCAGGGTATAGTGGAGCACCGAGTCCCCCATCTGTGCAGGGAATGAGACCTAGCATTGCATTAGCTTTTTGGGCACCTTCATACTTTTACTGCCACAAACTAAGCTTCCAGCCCACATCGGTTTAATGTTTTCACATGAACTGCTCTTGCTTTACTTGACATTCATCTCTGCCCTAGGTCTGATCACATAGTAAAAG